AATTCGCCCCGGGAAAGGACGTCGACAAGTTCGCCTCGTTCCTTGGTGCAGCATCCGGCGACGAAGACGATGCTTGAACTGCATCAACAGAAGAAGCGGCATCGTTGGCAGCAGTATCTCCATCGATCGAAGGCGCGGCCGCCGGCGCTATCTCCATGGCTAGGTAACGGTGCAAACCAGAGTACGATTGTCCACCAAGTCGCCGGAGCCGATGACGTACTTCTTCCCCGTAATCCGCAGAGAACACAGGAGGAAGAAGAAGAAGAAATGCCGATGAGATGAAGCTCGTTTTATTCCAATCTTGCCCTCCAAACAGAGACTTATATTACGCTTTTACCCCGCCTCCACTTTTATAATTACGCACAAGGTCGGTTATATGCTGAACTTCGCCGTGCCTTCCCTTTTCTTACTAAACGACGTCGTTATTTTTAACCAACTTTCTGTCCTTTTTTTTTCTTTTCTTCTTTTTTTTTTTTTTTGAATAAATTCTGTTCTTCCTTTAATACTTTATGATTAAGATATAGAAATCTTCCGATTCCAATACCTGTGAAACCAAAAAAATAAAAATTCCACAAATGAAAATTTTTAATTTGGATGAATTGGGTTGTGTCCGACTCTGACTCAATTCATCCAAATCGAAACTTGACGGGGTTTTGAGATGAATTTAAAGATTTTAGCGAGGTGATATGTCAAAAAAAACCTTATTTTTTGTGTTCTACCACGTATACTCTAAAGTTTAAACTACTACTTAATCCAGGCCTATGTGAAGTCAAAATTGATAAGGTTGCTTAGAGACTGTGTAACTTTTGAAACGTAAGACTCTACAACTGTAGAGAAACATTGAAAGATGTTTCACTGCTATTATGTCATTTCTTATCTATCCATCAAAAGATTTTTCACCAGTTGTCAATAGATACCCGTTTACTTTACATTATCTACATTCTCATCTTAGAATCGAGATGGATACCATGCAGTACGCTTGGCTCTTCTCCTAATACAATCTTCAAATAAATTTTAATCAGTCTAATATATTTTATCACAGGTTAAGTCATGCGAGAAATTAGGTTGGCTTTACTCGGAATGAAAGTAAAATTTGAGTTTATTGAATTTATGTCATTTATTGTGAGGAATAGTTTTAGGTCTTCAAAAATTGGATTGATTAGAAGTTGAAATGGGTTGCAATCAATTATGATAGTTTTAATTAGATGATAAAACAACTCAATTTGTTTCAGGTATGCAATTAGGGAGGGTATCATTTTACAACCAAAAGTTTATAGCTAAACTTGTGTAACAGTCACTATAATTTAAAAGTGGTCCTTCCTACAATTTAATTGCCATTAAATCTTAAAACATATTATATATTTATATTCTATCAATTTTTTCAAGTATTTAGTACTATAGTCCCTACCAATTCAAAAATCTCACTTTTATCAATATATAATTTTACATCATACATTCAAGGCTAAATATATAAAATACCCTTATTCTTTTAATCAATTTTCAATATGCTCTTTTAACCATTAATATATTAAAAACTCTTAATCAAGTTATTCCACGAACAATTTGTTAACGAAAATAGATATATTATTAAATTAATATTTTATTAACATATTCAGATACGTAAACATGCTGCTCGAATGTTATACGAAACTTTGAACTAAAACAGTTCAGGTACAAAATTGACTTACCAATTAATAAAATTCATTTTTTCCAACTGGCATGTCCGCTTTATGTTAACAAAATTTTGAAGCAAAGACATGACTGAGAATTTATAATACATTTAGGGTAACTTGATAATTTTAAAAAATTAATGATCAAATCGAAAAAATCCTTATAGATTAGGGATCACTAGTATATATTTAACTTATTTTCAATAAGATAGAACAATTTTTTTGTTATGTTTCCAATAAGTTATGCATAGAGCGTTTTATTACATCATATTTTTCAATAGCAAATCTATATCAGAAAGCGTTATATTTAGTCCATCAAATCTAAAACTCTCTACTTAATTTATTTCACTTTTATCAATAATTTCTTTTAAACAACTATTTATTAAGATTTGCCTATATTTATTTTATTTTAAAAAATCAAAACTTCTTTTAAATTTGAGAAGTCATTTATGAATTGTGACCAAGACCTTATGCAATTAAGATGCTATAAATTCTTTTGAACACCCCAACCAACTCCCTACTTTTCCCGTGTTCTAGAAGTTATGCGTAGTTCTAACTATATATATTTTTTACAAATATCTATTTTTATCAAAATTTTAAGATTTAAATTTTCAAGTTTGATGAATTTTTTTAGTACAACAAATTGAAAGTATGTAAGTTTGAACTTCCGACTTCAAAAAAATGGGTAGGTATCAATTATCGCTAAATTATATGATCGTGTTAGTTCAAGCCTAATGGGTTGATCTTTATTCCTAAGTTTCCCTTCCTTAATTTCCTTCCATCCAAGTTTATTATTTCGATTTTTCTATTTATTATCCCTCTTATATCCATATTTCATTTAAGGTAGTTAATAGAGGTATTTTTAAAAAATACTTCCATTTTGGATGATGTTTAATCAACACAAATTGCATATTTTTCTTTTATTTTAACAATTTTCGAATTCTTCTTTAGTGTTTTCTTCTTTCACTTGTTCTTTTTCTGTTTCTATGTAGACTTCGTTTTTGTGTCACTTGGTAATGTAGAAATTTGATAAGACTTGTTGATTAAATATCACATTATTTCGACGTTGACTTGCAAAACAAAGAACACTAAACACCGATTAGTGTAGTGCTAGCCACATACACTCTAATGTTTGAGTCAAAATAAAAGTTGAAAGTTGTATAGTAAAGAGTATGGTCATTTTAGCATACCTCTGAGGTTCAACAACTCCTATTTCTATTTATAAGAGTTGAATCCTTGTCTTCACAATAAACTTAGTTCTCTAGGCTTCATTACGTTATCGTGGGCCAGATATCAAATGAAAAGGTTCATTCATTGCATAGCCCTATCAAGTTAAGATGGATTCGAGCCCATCTTTGGAAGACATCAGTTGGTCGCCATTTTGAATATTTGCCAACGGGTCGACCTCAGTTGACCGTAGGGCTTGACCTCGTTGGACCAGGTCCCTACCCTTCGATTTTCAACTGAGCTTCTGAGTTTGGACTTCTTCTATCATGGGTCTATCTTGGATCTATTCAATAGTCTTGTCRGGTCTAACTTTATCTACTCATAACATTAGTAACACTCCGTTCAATTTTAACACACTCTATTTTCTACAATTTCACAGCCATCTTCATCCAAAAATGAGTAAGTCATTTGCGCTATTTGTTTCCTCATCATTTATGTTCCATTTACTTTCCTGTTAAAATACAGTGGAGCCAAAACTAAATGGGTCATAAAACCTCAAAATTCCAAAACGTGTCCTTATGTTCACCCTATTTTTGTAAACATAAGATCTTTTGGTCGTAGGGTTATTTTTGTGGTGTTGTTGCATGAAAAGAAAAAGGTGGCGGCTGGTGTTTTCGTTGCCAGAGAAAGAGAAGAGAAAAGAGGTTTGTAGAGCATTATCGGCAACTCATTCTCTTGAGGTTAGTGAGGTTTTTCATCTGTATTTCTAAGTAGCTAGTGTCGTAGTGCTTAGAAGCTAGGTGGTCATTGTTGTGGCATCTAGAGAGAGCTTTGTAGAGCGTTTAGGTCCATTGTATTTATCCCAAAATCAAAGTAGAACTCGTTGTTGCAAAAGACTGGACGTAGCCCATAGTTGGGGTGAACCAGTATAAATTGTTTGTGTCGTTTTATGTGCTTTCCCTATTTTTCTTAGTATTATGTGTGACTTAGTTTTCATTGACGAACCGTGGAAGTAGAAAATATTATTGGTGAGTAAATTTTTCAACATTTCCATTATAGCTTATGTTACATAAAAAAAAATGCTTCCTCATTTAATACTATTTATGTAAATACTTCTTCATTTTAGTCTACCAATAAATCTACGTTATATTTTAAAAAAAATGAAAAAGTTGTGATGTTTTAAAAAATATATATTAAATTTATGCTATTTAATATAATTTCTTTAGTTCTTTTTTGTTCTAAAAAAAGATATATTTTAAAAGTTGAAATTAGTTCTGGTATTAAAATTAAGAACTGTATTGATAAATTCTTTTAGATTTCTTACATAGTTTTCTTCCCCCCTCAAATAATCACTTTTAAAGCAAAAAAAAAAAAATTGGAAAAGTAACAAAAATATGTGGTTCGCATTAGCTTTCTAAGAAAGTAACTCTCTTTTTTCCAACTATCTTTTGATTCAAGCTAATATAATACTTTTCAAAATAATTTCAAAATTCAATATTTTAGTTTGCTTATAAGTTATTATTTATTCATAGAAACTTTAATTGGTTTTGTACTTTTCTTTTTCCATTTTAATCTATATTTTACGGTATTTATAAAATATTACATTTATTATAATCGATCCATCTAAAACATTGCAAAATGATTCGAACACTTTATCGCGTCTCTTCGATACATATRCTGTAACGATCATAGCAATCTCCTCTAGTGGTTGTCTAACTGTACAGAACCTCTGAGTTGCACAGGGGATGTGGAAAACGTTCTCTTTGTCTTCGAGCTTTCATTTTGCTCTACAACTTTTAGTGCCATATATTTCCTTCCCCGTCCCTTACTCATCTTTTGACAGCCATCATTCAGGATTTTTTTTTTCTTTCGAAAGTGAGATCATCACAGACTTGAAGAAGAGGGAAAGATTACTCCTAAATAAGGTTTTAGATTAGTGGTGACTAACATAGTATTAGAGCAGAAAGTCTGTGGGTTTAAAATCACCACTAAATCGAAAAGCTTAAACTGATGGGTTACGATAAATTTAATCTTTTATAAATACCTTCACACTATACTTTTATAAATGTTGTCGTTTAGTCCTCAGCATAAGACGTGGTTAGATAATAAAGGAGAAGAGTGTAATATGCAAGGGACAGTCTTTTTTTTTTTTAAACGGGAAGGTAAGAGATAAAATTGAAGTTTATAAAACAGTAAGATACAATTCAATGCTTTCTTTTTGGCATGATACATAGAATTTTGGCATTTATAAACCACTATTTATTTTATGAGTTATTTTTCCTATTAAGCAAGACAAAAATGCACATACAAAATAGTCAAAAAGAGCAATCATGTATTATTTGGTATCCAATGTTGTTGCCATCTTCATTTGAAGCAATGCATTTTCAAAGCATTGAGCAAGAAACTCAGGGTCAGGGATGATATCTTTTGCCACAAGAATTTGCATTTCGGCTCTTCCTGCATAGCTCATCATATGCATCGTTATTGCCTACATAAAATTGACGAGTAAGAAAGTATCGAATATTTATATTAATTTCTAATGAGATACTTCAAATATGAATTAAATTTACTCAATCCATCAATTTAAACGTTTGAGTTAGATGAATTTAACCGTTTCTTATCATACTTTTAAAACTAGGAATGAAGTAAAGAATAGGGAAGGGAGTAGTACATGGGACAAGCTTGTTGAAGTAGCTCTAATGTATGTAATGGGATTGCCTCCAATGGTAATCTCCTCTCTTGGGCCAATCACATTAGAGATTGTGAATGTGGTATTGCAAACAATTCTGTAATTAAGCATGCAAGCTACCTGCATAATTTGTACACAATTTTGAAAACGTTTCAAACAAATGAAAAATAAAAGCATAAAACATTAAAAATGTTGCTTAATATTGGGTGTCTAAGACATGTTTGGTAATGTTCTCATTTTTCGTTTTTCATTTCCAGTTTTATTAAGAAATCTAAACATTTTGACAACTATTTATGTTTTTTTAGTGAGAAACAATCTCAAAATTGTATAAAAATTTTGGAAACAATAAAAATAAGTTTCTTGTTTCTGGTTCTCGTTTCTAATTTGTTCCGATGTAAATAAAGATTTTATTTTATTATGCAATTTTATTTTTCTTTAATAGAAACGATGAAGCAAAAACAAGAAACGAGAACGTTACCAAATAGGTCTTTAATTTTTCAACTTCTATGTTCTTACCTTGGGTCCGAAGCACGACATTACAAACTTGCCCATTCCGTATGAAAAATGTGCTTCGAGAGTGCGTTTTTTTCGATCGATCATCTTTTTAGTTCTTATCATGTATTGAAGGGGGTTAGATGCCTTCTTGCTATAGTTAACAGGAAGAAGAAGGATCCCTAGCTTGTTACCCCATCGAGATCCTCCATTTCCTTTCATCATATCAGTTAGTTCCTGCACGATACACATCATAAAGAGTTAACCATGAAAGAAAATAGAAGAGAAAAAGAAAAAAAGAAAAAGTTAAAAAGAGTGTAAAAACCTGCAATCCTGGTTGAGCTCTAAGATTAACCATGGCTACTCCCGTTAATTGAAGGCTTTCTTTCAAACCTACAAATACAAGGTTGGAGATGCTAAAAATGTGTTTGAAAATCTCATTCGATAACCATTTTGTTTACCGTAAAAAAAAAAAAAACATACCAGTACTCTTAATTATTCAACCGTGAACATATAAATTTAATCTAAACATAACTCAACTCCTCCCATCGAGTCCTAACTAAAAGAAATCATTAAAGCATTAGTAGTCTGGTGTCAACCTGAACACTTTTTTTTTTTTTGAACATATATAGCTCAACCCAACCCACCTATCCAAAAAAAATTTTAATTTCTTCTTAATAACATGTTTATTAATTCAAATATATTAATAAAACCATACTTTAATGCCACATCTAATTGAAAAGTTTTGGAAAATTGGAATATATTAAAGAAGAAATTAAAAAGAGATTTAGGAATATGTGACCAAAAAGTGGAATTTGGGAGAGACAGAGGACGTACCCTTTGTCTGCCTGTGCTCCAAGTACCTGGAAAAGCCTGCCCCGATCACACTAAACAGAACGTCATTTATTGTCTGCACCCACACATTTTTTCTCTTCATTAGTTTTTGCTTACACAAAAACACTTTTTAAATTTAAATTTAATTTTCCAACCCACCCAGAACCAAAGTTTATAATTTTTTTGGATTTGTTATCACCTCTTGAAAACGTGTCTAAAAGCAGAAAACATAATTACACTAAACTAAACATAATTACACTAAACTAACGTTGGCTCAAAAGATAGTTTTTTTTATATAATAGAACTTGATTGGAAGGATGATTTTTTATAAATTAGAAAACAGCAGAAAACATAAATTCTTCTTAACTCATTTTAATTTTTACTTATTTTGTCTCTAACCAAAATGTTGACATCTATAGAAAATTTGGTTCTGGTTAAAAAGGCTTCTTTTATGAACACTTTTTATGTTGTTTTGATGCCTTAAAATATGTTATCTGCCTTTTCTTTTGACAAAAATATTTTATGTTACCAAAACATAATATTACCAAAACAAGAACAGAAATTACACATTAAACAAAAAATAGTTGCCTCCTTTTCTAATTGGGATTCTTTGAAAAGTCAATCTAAAGGAGGAAAAACATATATCATACTACTTGCCAATTCGGGCTCCATTATTATTTAAAGGAAAGGAAAATGACATAAATAAATTTATTTAAAGTAAACAAATTAAAACGAAACTCATGACAAGAAACCAAATAATTTGACCACTTTGAAGCCTCTTTTCTCTTTTTTTTTTT